GCGGGTGTCCAGCACCCCAGGGGCCCGGCCGGGGACAGGTGTCTGAGCTCTTGTCTTCACTGTGCTTAGAGAGGTGGCAGGCATGGTGGACGGCCCGTGGCGGATGGTCCCGTGGCTGGCGATCCCGTGGCCGCAGTCTTGGTGGCTGACAGTCCCGTGGCCGCGGTCTCAGTGGCAGGACGAGGACCGGGGCCGGGCCTGCTCAGCTGCCTGGTTCCTTAGGCGCTTGGGTTTGGGAATCCGGGGACCTTGTTGGGAATCCGTTTCCTCATTCGCGAGGTGGGGTCGTAATCTTCGTCTGTGGGTTCCCCTGAGAATTCACTGCTGGCCCCTCCTCCCTCTCGTCCTGGGTGCTCCTCCAGCCCGGCCCCGTGAGGGTCCCCCGGGCCCGTCCATCCAGTCCCGATGCCCGGCTGTTCCCAGCAGATTCTCACCCGGGCGATTCTGCCCGAGGGGGCGTGACAACGGCAGGAGACATTTGTCACAACAGTAGGTGGAGGCCAGGGGTGCTGTGAGCACCCACAGTGCACAGGGCGCCCCACGACAGCGATCTGCTCCCCACATCGGACGTGCAGGGCCCGGAGCTCCCTGGAGGTCCTGGTCGCCTCGGACAGACTCGGGGCCCTAGAGTCGGGAACTTGTTTTCTTCTTTTTTAACGTCTAAATGTGAATTTATTGATTTTAGAGAGAGGAACATCGATTTGTTGTTCACTTACTTATGCATCCCTGGGCTGACTCCTGTATGTGCCCTGAGTGGGGATCCAACCACCTGAGCTCCCAGCCTGGGTGTGTGCGTGTCTGTGTGTGTGTTTGCACGTGTGTGCGTGTGTGTCTGTGTGTGCACGTGTGTGTGCGCACGCATGTGTGTGTTTTGTCCTAAAATGCACCTAACACACTTGCTGACGTGCCCATTTTCAACTACAAGTCAGGGCCATTTTGTGTTTTGCACCATCACCTCTGTCCAGTTCCAGAACTTTCTCATCGCCCCCAAAGGAAGCCCTGCCCCAACTCG